CAGCATCCTTCTGAGACAGGATGTTTCTAATTTCCTTAATAAATGGAAGAAAGCTGTCCTAGAGACTTGTTTTATATGTTGGTCAAATGACATGTCCTGGTCAAACATGACTCCAAGGTTCCTCACAGTGGAGCTGGAGGCCAAACTAATACCATCCAAGGTGACTGGTCTGGTCAGACAGTGATTCTCTGAGATGTTTAGGGTCAATTACAATGACCTCAGTTTTGTCTGAATTTAGAAGTAAGAAGTTTTGGGTCATCCAGGCCTTGATGTTCTTGAGACATTCTTGAAGTTGAACTAAGTGATTAGATTCATCAGGGTTCATAAAAATGTATGGCTGTGTGTCGTCTGCGTAACAATGGTAGTGTATGTGGTGCTTTCTCATGATGTTGCCTAAGGGGAGCATATACATAAGGTGAAGAGTATCAGTCCAAGGACAGAACCTTGTGGAACTCCATGACTAACTTGCATGTGAATGGAGGGGTCATTGTTGACGTTAACAAATTGAAATCTATCTGATAAATATGATTTAAACCAGTCTAGTGCAGTTCCTCTGATCCCTACATGTCGTTCCAGTCTCTGTACAGGATCTTATGATCTATGGTGTCAAATGCTGCACTAAGATCCAACAGGACAAGTATAGAGACAAGTCCATCATCTTGTGGCAAGGAGGGGAGTCGTTTTAAATTAATTAATGGGAGAGGTCGAATTAACTAAGGAGGTAACAATAACTTAGGGACCAACAACGCCACCTGGGGCCTTGCAACCCCAGGATATAATGTAAATCAAAAAAATGGTTTAATGAAAAGAAACCTAAAGGGACACAGGTTCATGACTGAGGAGGCAGAGACAGCAAATTATATAATGCAACTATATTTATTGATTCAAAGAAATCAGGACTAGACCTAAAAGAGAAGAAAAGAACTGAAGCTGGTGAACTGAAACTAAGTTCAGACGAATATAAGGTGAGTAAACGACAATTAGTTTATTGACAGAACACAATATCTAAAATGTAAGCCAGCTAAAGCAATACTAAAAGCTCTAATGACTATAACAGAAAACTAAAATCAGTGGGCTGGGGCCTCAGTGGGAGGCAGACTACTGGAAAAGTGCCTCACCTCAAGCCTGGGGTGCAACACTACAGAAAAATCACAGCAAAACATGCACTAAAAGTGCCCCAGTGCCTACTTGCATGCAACAGGAGTGAGGTCCTCACCACGGTGCCTAGCCCCCCCACCTGATGACACCCAGTCCGCACTGAAAATCAAAGAAAGAAACAAAGAAACTTCCTGAAACAAAGAAAACAAAAGGTTAACAAAACCAACAACCCAATTGATGATTAAACAGAATTCCAAAACATACAGACTCGAAGCAAACAGTCAAACAAAAATGTACCTAAACTAAGCAACCTTAATAAATCTGGAACAACGAACAAATCAAAACTACAGAAATGAGCAAAACAAACAAACAAAGGCAAACCTAACAAAAGCAGAACAGAACAACAGGTAGCCACCACCAGGGACCAGCAAAGAGAGAGAACTGAGCCAGCTGAGGCATTTTATACTGCACCTGGGCAGGGGGAGGGGCTTAGGGAGGATTCGTGCTGGACTACCTGGGCTGCGTTCACAATGCTTCACTACAATCTGATGCCATGAAAAGGTCATTAGTGACTTTTAACAGTGCTGTTTCTGTGCTGTGATGGATTCTAAATCTTGACTGAAAGTTTTCCAACAAACCGCTACTATCTGAGTAATCACACAGCTGGTTAGCAACAGCTTTTTCCAGGATTTTGGAAATGAAGGGCAGGTTTGATATGGGTCTATAATTAGCTGAAACCTCTGGATCAAGAGTGGGCTTTTTAAGCAGAGGTTTAGTAACAGCTACCTTAAAAGCTTGTGGTATGTAGCCGGTTAACAGACGTTATGTTAATCTGATTTAATATGGAACTGTCAGTTAGGGGGAAAACATCCTTAAAAAGTCCAGTTGGGACAGAGTCTAATAGACAAGTTGTTGGTTTACATGATGAAACTAATAAGGTCAGTTCAGGAAGATCAATGGAAGAAAATTGGTTCAAACATAAATCTGGTGCTACAGGTGGTTCTATGGTTTCAGGACCAGACAATGTGTCTGTGCTATTCATGGGGAGGAGGTGGTGGATTTTATCCCTGATGGTTATAATTTTATTTGTAAAGAAGCTCATGAAGTCATTGCTTCTCAGGGTTAGAGGAAAAGATGGGTCAGTAGAGGTATGACTTTCTGTCAGCCTGGCTACAGTGCTGAAGAGGAACCTGGTGTTGTTCTTATTTTCTTCTATTAATAATGAATAATAAGAGGTTCCAGCATTTCTAAGTGCTTTCTTGTGATTCATCAGGCTATCCTTCCAGGCTAGGTGAAAGTCATATTGATTGGTGGAATGCCACTTCCTCTCTAGTTTTCGTGATGTCTGTTTTAAAACACGTGTTTGAGAATTATACCATGGAGCTAATCTCCTCTGATTTACCTTCTTCTTTTTTAGCGGGGCTACATCCATTAGTCAGTCCATTAGTCAGGGTAATTGGGCTAGCTGCTGAAATTTCATGCCCTACTTTAAATTAAGACTTACCTTGAATTCCTCGAGCACAATCCTCCACCTAACCTCTCATCCTCCTCAAACCTCACCTAAGGTGGTGCTCTAGATGTCAGCCCTCACATTCTCATGGCCTCAGACATTTGACTTGTCACTATTTTCGTCCTGCTAGATCTTAGTACTGCATTTGACACTATCACAAGATTTTATTACACTTATTACAGATGCTTACGACACTGGAATATGCTATTGGGATTAAAGAATCAGCACTAGGCTGGTTTAAATAATATTTTAAAGATAAAATATTGTTCATGCTAGCAATGACTCTTCCATGGACACAAAAGGTAATCATGGAGTTCCACAAAGTACTGGGCTTGGACAGATACTTTTCACTTAAAATATGCTTCCCTTGGGCATTATTATCAGAAAGCACCTCATAAGTGTGCATTTTATTGTATTTTTATTTGATAAATGTAATAATGAAATCAACAGACCCTACAGTATGACAAAAATCTAAAACAATGTATCATATAAAATCAAGCAAACTAAATTCTTTACAAAGAGTACATCTCTACTCTGAAATTAAAACAATAATGACTCAGCTGGCAGACCTCAGAACAGAGTTCCCATTCCATTTATTAGATATGTTTTATAAATAGACACACTCAGTCACATACGTTGAAAGTATAAAAAAATACAAGATTGTAGGATTTTCTCGACATGTGAGGTCTCTTCTTCGTTGCCTTTGATACGTTTCTTTTGATTTGAACAACTAACAAAAATGTAAAATTCATTTGATTTTACATACACAGCATAGTAGTTTTCACTTTCACAAGTCCATTTGTCAAGCAAGTTACTATCACCAGTATCATGTTAAATGAGATCAGAGCATAGAAAACAGAATCACATGCAGTCAGCTAATTTTCACTGAATCTGTACAGCACATCCTGTCAGCCAAAAACTAATTCTCAAATATATACTGTATGTGCTTCTTAAAGTTTCATTATACTTTGTTTTGAAAACTGTAAGCAATGCCGATTTAACAATGAAAAAGGTTTAAATGGGGAAACATGATGACAACTGTGAGAATACAGCTCATTCATTTTCAATGAGGACTGATTGACTAATGCTCCTGCACATCTTCCAGATGGGTCATTTGTTAAATTAGGTCAGTTTTGAGAAGTTTGAATATTTCAAACATATAGTATGTTCCAGCTAGACTGTTGATTTTCAGTCACTCAGCTGTAAGTCACATATCATCATCTGTATGCTGTCAGGAAATATGGGATTTAGGATGCTACAAAATTGAAATCAAGAAATGTAAAGTATACTAAGAACCAGGCAACGTGGCTAAGTTGCATTGATACATTTTCTCTAAAACTTCTGCAATCACTGAGCAATCTAATGGTTGTTATGTTCTTAAACAAAAATGGGCAGCATAAATCACACATAATAAATCTAGTGCAGCACAAATACACAACAAATGTCATCTTCAAGCATTTACATACCATATAGCTACTGTGCCAAATCCGGCTCACCTTGTTCTAAGGACAATATCCTGCTCCAAATTCATGTATTTTAATTTGCAAACATATTGAAAAATACAACTTCAGTGTTCTAGGAAATTGCATGATTTTTGGTATGATACCAAGTTTTCTTTTTGTAATAGATAACTCTTACTATTCACAGTGTTGAAAACTAAACAGTACAGGCCGACACGTTCTGTGTGACTGGTAACTGGCACCATTTTATATCTATTGTGGAGGTTGCTGTCAAGTTCAGCACTGCTCCAGATTCTGCTTTGCAGAATTACAAAACTACAGAAATTCATCTCCAAAGTATGCCATAAGACTCAGTAGGGAAGAAAATGTCAACTCTCCATATAGTATTCTTACCCAAGCAACGATTATAGATGTTTGAAGTAGTCTCTTTTCC